ATGTCGAAGCCAATACACACTGATACAAACAAATAGCAATCAACATATGTATGTCAATCATATAACGACATAAAACTACTAACCCAATGCAACATGAACAATCTATAAAAGGACATGTGATGAAGATTTAACAAGAAATAGAACATATGTGCTTCACATTATTTCATAAGGCATCCATCTGTCGACAATTACTGCGTCTAACTGTCGGGATCTACAGTTGACCTGTACCAAATTTACTCAACTGTCGAGAAGTCTAAGGCTAACTGTCGGGAATGATAGTTCACATATCCCTATTTTACCCAACTATCGAGAACAACTGCAGCTAACTGTCGAGAACGACAGAACACATGTTTACAAGTCACCCATATGCAGATAATTTTGTAAGGTAAACCATTGCACATGAAGTGGTGACACATACCAACATGGTAGAAGGTTCACAAGCAGGTGGGATTTACATTCAGAAACCTCAATTTAAAATCTAAGATCTCTTGAAGCAACATAACAATTAAGCTAGAAACGGAATTTGATTAATTAATTCATCAATACAACATCAAAATGTAAAAGATGAAAATGAATGATACTGAACTTTGATTAATTAATTCATCAATACAACATCAAAATCTAACAGAATATAACAACAAATATATTGAAAATTGAAACATGAAAGAGAGATTAGAGGAAAAGACAACTCATATTAAAGAACATAAAAACAAAAATAAAGTAGTAAAAACAGAGACCCAAAACTTTGTTATATGATTCTTCGAAGAAAATTAATCTAGCTCAATCCAAACACATTAAACGAAAAATCCACTCTTAATTAAGTTGTAAGTTAATATAGCACATTTCCAATCCAAATTAACCCCAATTTCCATTTTATATAACAAAAAGGCAAAAACCTACAAAAAAAGAGAGTAATTAAACATACATGTAATATGAGATCTGCTTCTTTAGACTCGTAAACACTGAATTCAGGAGCCCTCATGTACATGATTTCACCATCAGATTTTGCACCAAAATCTCCATTATTTTCTATAGACAAAACTTCTTCCCCCATTGAAATCGACTCCATAGCTTTCAATATTTTCTAGTCTTTTTTCCCCACATTCTCTCCTTGTTGCAAATTCATATTTCTTCCCATTGCTATATGTCCTCCACACTCAGCACTCAGCAGCAGAATCGCATCAGAAGGTTGAATTGCAAGAGGGCGGAAGCTAAATCACAGGCTCGAGGTTTATAACTTTTGCAGAAGGGTTTTCCAAGGTTTCTTCAAATGGATTTTGCAGAGGTTTTGCTACGGGAATGTCTA